ACCATAGATCTAGTAGACCTGATAGCGTTCTCATACAGTTGTATCTTCCACGACATCGGCGAAAGAAGTTCTGTGCCTTCTCCGTCTTTAACTCATACATATCGGAGAATGACATCAACTTTGAATAAAATGTCTCTTAAAACAACCTATCGACAGGTGGTGAAAGCGGTGTTTTCATCTCAAATAACTAAAATGTGATACAGCTTGGTGGAATCAGGCTCTCGTCCATTTTTTGGCATATAGAGTTATTGGTATCATCTTGAAGCTTGTTCACTTGTCTTTATGTGGAAGAATAAATTATCTATTTTCTTGAATACAAGTCGAAATATTTGCGAAAGAAGGAGGTGGGGGTCACCTGTTTTCAGAGGTAAAATTAATGAGAAAATGGCCGCCAAAGGATAGTTATTTCCTTAGCTTAAGAGTCCGTGGTAACTGAAAATTTACATATTCTGTGTCTTTAATCAACGTTTTTCAGAAAAATCCACTCAGAAATGAGTTCTTTAATAAGCATGAACGGTGTTGAGACAAAAACAAAAATTTAATAAAAATTAACAAACCTGCGGAAAAATGCACGTTTCTTCATTTTGATTATTTTGACGAGAGCCTGATTCCACCACGTTGCCTCACAAAATATGTGTTATTGTCCAACTACAGTCGGGTGGCTCCTGTACGCTCTAGCCTTCAACAACTGCTCTATAGCCGTGTACATCTCCGTAGAGAGATGCCTCAGCGTTGCTCTTCCCTTAAAGGTCAAGGCCATCATTACACGAAAGGTCACCGTTTTCTCCGTTGTTTTGATTGGTTCAGCCTCCGCTGTGATCGTCCTTCCTGCCCTGACTGCCTTTGAACTGAAAAGAATGACCAGCGACGACAACGCAACGGACGTTGCCATCATTGTTTTGGATAACTTCACCCACAGGACCGTCACTTACTTCGCCCATTTTGTTCTTCAGGTAAAACAAACTGGCTGAACACAGGTAACTGACAATTTTTGGTGTTTTAGCTCGGGCAAGATTCAAAATTAAAAAAACTAGATATTCCTTTCATACTTGTAAAAATAGTAAGATATCCTTCACACGTTCTTGATTCCAATTAATGTCTTTACCGTAGCAATATGCCTGATATAGCTTGTCTTTCTTTTGGAGCATATCTAGGAAGACTCACATCAAACAACAATATGTATTGGGGATGCTGCACAGCTGCATGTATAACGGCAGCCTCGAGACTGTAGAACGTAGAGGGGGAAAATGAAGAGATGGTACCGATTACCCAAAAAAGAAATTAATCATAATATTATTCTCTAATCAGGAGCTACTCGCTGTTCCAATATTAGAAAATCCGTTGTTTGTTTAATGATATCTTTATTAAAAAGAAATTGTAAAGCAGTCTGAGAAGCTTTTATCCCTCTCAGTCCTGGTGTATTCCTTACAAGCAGCTTTGAAAAAGCTTGGCCACTGATTGACCTTAATTGGTTTGATCGAGGCTTAAAACATGTTATCTACAATAATACGCACAATCAAACCATTAGTACATTCAATGTCGTTTTTTATGCCTTGTCCTAACAAAACAATTAGACGTAATTGCCGAATGATCGAGAATGTTCGCAGCTTTTTGGCTGATGAAAAAAAAATGATGTAAATTATGAAAGGTATCGATCTGACGGAATCATCCCCAATAAATTTGCATTAAGAGAAGACTATTTGAAAGAGTGGTATACTTTTTTAAAAACCCATTCAACTGGGTCTGGGCCTTTCAATCAATATTAAATTATAGAATACAAAGAGAAATAAAACTATGCGAAAAAGTTGAAATAGATGATTATATAGTCAAATTAGAGGGTGCGGTGGCGAAGCGGATAGTGCTCTCGTCTCCGAAGCGGAAAGTCCGGGTTCGAGCCTCGGTTCGGACACGATATTTTTTTCGCCCCCCCC